AAAAAGATTGTCAGACAAATTGGATGAGTAGGAACCTAAGTGCTATCCTCCTCTTTTAATATACCTGTTTCACTTTAAATCCCTGTTTGCTTTTGTTGTATGTTGCATTAAAGCTCAAGGCTAAAATGAACACTCAAATTTTGCATTTTCCAAATGCTTTGGTGGCTCGTGTAAGAGTACACATCACCAAAGAGGTGGTGTCACCTGAGGATGCAAAGTCAAAGCAGGTCCTGCAGCATCAATGCTCCTTGTCGAATTAGTCATTAAATCAATCCTGCTGCTACAGTTTTAAATGAGCAAAATTGTGGGTACAGTTTTGTGGGTATTCTCTGTTTAATTATAGTGTAGGCTCACAGACAATGTATGGGGACATAGAGACTCATGAAATTCACTCCAATGGCTGCATACATGCGTGACATATTCAACATCCAGAAATCTGTTTAATGCCAAGAGCTACATTAGATAGTTCAAGCCACAGCTCACAGTGAGTCACATAATGAAGTTCTTCAGATTATTGTTGTCATTCCCTTCCCCCTTCTCACTTAGGAAGTTCATTTAGGCAAGCAGTCATTTTAAGAACGTGCAAATGCTTATTGCTGATTTCTATGGATCTGGCAAGCAGCCAGGATTCTGTGATGTTGGGTACTATAGGCAGTGGGAAGCTAAATATGCATGACCTCACATAACGTTGATCCATGGGCTCGCAGGCGTTCTGCACCTGTAAAAATCCCAGCAATTCTGCATGCAAAGTGTCTCCGGTGTTGTCATTGAATCACTTAGTGCTTCAGTGCTCAGTGATCAGGTGAACTCAGCACATGTTCATTATCCTTCTCTGCTTTGGTAATGTCGAGAATAGAAGACGTCATTATTTAACCATGGTAAATCCAGTATTTTGCTCTTGATAAGCATGTACATATTGCACATGGGAAGGAGGAGCTGAATTCATACTGACAACTTTACAGTTACGTTAAAATCTGATGAGTTCGCTGCTATCAAGATGTGGGGAATAAAATGCAGTAGTTAATATAAATAATGTATTTAGCAGTGATGAATTAATAATGCATTATTAAGGTCAGGGTAGCACTAGGAACTTGCCTGAGGACATCATACACAATAATGAGTCACAAAAAAAAAGTCAACTATAGCTCAAGGTTATAAATCAGAATCCAAGTAGAATAAAATTTATAAATCCAATAAAATCAGCTTCAACTAGTCTCAACCTACAAATATTTGCATAATATGTGGAATTGACAATATCTGTATTCTTAAAGAGATCCCATACATTAGACTATTCATAAAGGGTCAAATTTTAACCTCATGAATACCAGAGGAACTTGGGGCATAATTTCCCCAATTATTAGGCATAATTAAAAATGGAACCATTGAGCCAGTTTCTTTCCTCCACCTGGCTGCTGTATCATAGCAGTGGTGGCAGAAGCTGTTCTTCACAGAGGGAAATGCCTCTGTGAGAGGCACCACAGTGGTAGTGGTTCTTCTCTGCACCCAGTCAAGTGACATCACTGGGATCACTGGGCACCTGTGGCGTTTTCTAAGGGTGTGGAAGATGCTCTAAGCATCACTGGTGCTCAGAGTGTTGTGGCCTGAAGGAACACTGTGGGCCTTTTAGTGAAACTAAAATACCAACTGCAAGTTATCTGAAGGTTACCACTGGCTTTTTGTGGTCAATTTATAGGGTTTTGTTTCATGTTGGTGGCTTACAGCCAGTCTGTGACTAATCAGTGATTAGTGATCCCAGCCTTGTAGAATTAATATATTCCATATAGCAGGATTTTTTAACAATAAATACCACAGGGCATGAGCCTGAACTTCAAATTGGAGGAGAAGGATGACAAGGACAATGCTCTACTCCAATTGTCATTATTGCTGCATTGTTGGCATTTGGTACCCACTTTGCAATTGTTGAGGGAACAGGTCTAGGGCTGCGCAAGCAGAGGTGCTCCCTTTCACAAAGCTTTGGCTTAGTTATTGTTTATTTGACAATTACTGTGTTTATAATTGCAGAGCAGACATAACAAAACAACTTTTCTAACTGTAAAAGCACTGCTTCCTTGTTTGTATGCCACAACATATTGCTGCTAAGCATTCAGCTTTGGGTTTGTAATGTTTTGGAGAGCTAGTTCTAAATAAACAAAAACAAAGGGAGACTGGCAGCTTTAAGCTGATTGAGTGTCCTTCAGTGTTAAAATGTGTTTGATTTAAGAACAGAAAGATTCATTAATGCCTATTTATGATCTATTTTTAGCGTAATTCCATGCAATTACTATTCATATGACTCAAGCACCCAGGCTGAATTCTAGCCAGGCAATAAAAGGATAATTTTGTAATGCCAGAGAGTCTCTTGAGAAGATTTGGAGGAAAATGCAAATCAACTGTTAGTATGATAAAGCTGTGCACACTAACTCAGTTTCTGGAGCTCTGTGTAATTTAGGAAACATTCACAGAGGAATATCAGACATCAACCAGCACATGGGTGCAGCACTGCTGGCTTTGTAACATCTGGGATCTGTGCAGTTGCAGTGCAGGGAGTGACTGGAAATGAGCTCACGACTCTCAATACCCTTTTATACTCCCAGCAGTGAAACATGTGACAAATACTGATGCAAAGTTTCCCAGGGAGGCATCAGGCAAAGAGGGATGGAGAGGTGCATATGCTGGCAAATACTCTTAGAAGTGAATGAATACATGTTTATAAAATCCCTTGCTCTCACACACTAAGGATCTTCCTTTCCTTCCAATGAGTCAAAGTCTTATTTTCTTTCTTATCCTAATTCTGCTCCTCCTGACACTCCTTTTCCCTCAATGCCTAAATTTTGTCTCCATCCTTTCTTTTCAGGACTCAGCTGGGTGTAGTGTTGCAGTGTAGGGGAGTGCTGGGAAAGGCAGCTGCAGGCACTCAGTAACCTCCGCCAGAGAAGCCCTTCAATATCATGCATTTGTCAGATTAATTATACATTGATTAATTTCCCCAGATTAATTCTGGACTAATTAATAATTTCTGGAAGGCAGTGGAGAGAGTGGTTTTGTCTCCAAATGAGGCTGTGACTATTAGGATACCTGAGCTAGCCCTAGGGAAATGGCAGGTTAAGACAGAGGGTATGCAGAAGTACTCTTATCCTTCTGGACCAGTGCTCTGGAGCCAGGCAAGGTACTTGAGGATGCCTGATGCCATCTATTCTTAGACACCTTGGAAAGAGTTCTAGGTTAACCACCTCACAAGGAGAAGAAGCCCTGAGCACAGAGAAAAATAATTCCCTGCAATTCAAGATTTACACTTCTGAAAAGTAGTTCTGGGCTAAGATAGCAGAAAGGAAACAGTCAAGAAACCAATAACCTTGCTTTCATAAAGCATTTATTTTTTTTATTTGAAAACATTATACAGGCATTACATTGCCACAGCCAGTCCATATAGGTGCATGCAAATATCAAAATGGAGAAAGGTTTATTCAGCTTCTCAATGCAGGATTCGGGGTTGGGATTTTGTTTGCCTGGTTTTGGTTTTGGTTCATACTTCCATCTGCAGTGTCAAGATTAGTGTGCTTTATTATGGCATTTAACAATAAAATCCTACCCATGGGGTAAAATTTATATTTTTAGCTAGCTCAGGAATACTAAATGGTCTAAAAAAAAAAAAAAAGGAAAGAAAATGATACTACACGCTTGTCAAAATGTTAATAGCACAAGTTAGCAATCTCTACACTATACATTGAAACTTCTTCTTATGACACAGTGGTGCAAAATTTTCAATTGCTTGGTCTATCGTTGTGTGTTTCGAAACCTTATAGCTGGAACAAAGACAAGGTCTGTCTCCCAGTGAGGGTTTTCATCCGGTATCAGAAAATGACATCAGTCTTGCTAAGGGCTGCCCAGGGCCAGCAGTATCAGAGAGTTTCAGTTTGTTCAGGCAAGGAGCAATGCAGAGCTAGAGACGTCCTACGCGACACGGAGAGTAGCTGCCGTTAGATAGCTGAGCCTTTGCTGGTGCGCACTGAGGGCTCCAACTGCAGAACACAAGCAGGCAGAAGGAAAGTTTTCCTTCACTAGACCTCAGTTTTTCAGTCAACACAGTCATTTGCAAAGCCATACTACTGCTTTCCTTCGAGGTCCATCCAGGACTAGCTCACTGGTGCTAATCCGAGCATCCACCTTGTTTATGGGGTGTAAACGCGGACGGCGAAGCAGCCCCGCTTTGCACATCCAACTCCCCCTGCACGAGAAGCACAGGGGGTGGTGGCAGAGTGCTCACTGAAACATTCATCACTTATTCCTGTACAACAGAGCCTTTTAGAATAGCCTGGTAACATCACTCTCCAGGTGGCACCTCTCAGCCATGGCTGGCAACCCCTTGTAAGGAGAAACTCCCAGCCCCGGGACCTGGCGGGGAGCTGCCTCCTGCCCAGCTGTTTCGCAGAAGACTAAAAAACATCTACGAGTTAGTGTCAGAAAAATGAGGAGGGGGAGGCCGAAGGACTACAAACATTTGGCTTAAAATAAATACTAATCAGGAAATTAATCAAAACAGTTATGCAAAAGAAGGAACTGTAAACATGAAACACACACGCACACAATCCTCAAGGTTCTCAGACCAACACGGGGACTAATGTTCAGAGAAAGGTATTTAATTGGTATAAAAGGTAGCAAAAAAGACTGAGATGACAGGTGCCCACCAGTGTGCCACTGGGTACCTGAGGAAGCCATGATTGTAATCAGACTCCTTCTCCTGGGGAATGTACAAAATCCACCTTAAGTTGAAGCTTTCACGGGGCTTGACCCAAGGATCTTACCCTGAAGTGTCAGATAATCTTTCTTGTGTGTTTTTTATTTAGACATTCCTTAATATCCCCAGAATATAGACTCTGTTTTTCTGTGGGAATCCAGTGTTTTTTTCTTCTGTGGTTTTTTAATCCTCAATAGTTTAAGAAAAAAAAGTTCAGAAACATGAGTGCTAAAAAGATTAAAAAACCAGAAGGCAGGGGAAAAAAATTATACATTTGTTTGTTTAGTACCAAGGCATCTTAACCAAAGCTATAGGGCTAGTTTTGGGCATGATTTGGCAATACTGCAGAACCTTCCCCCAGGTGCAGCAGGGTTGTGGCAGACAGCCTAAACACAGTGGGAAAGAAATAATCTCTTCTCCACAGCAAGAATAAGATACAGCATACTTCTGCTGTTCAAAAGCATTTTGACATTTGCCACTTCATGTCTATTATGCATATATACACTTCTCTCAGTCTGCTTCAGGGAAGTTCCTTCTGTATTAAAGCAGAACAGGACTATAAAAAATGAATGTTACCTCAGCAGAAATTCATCCTGCTTGGTTGAACCGTGTGACCTTTCTAATCTCCAGTGTATAGATTGTTTTTTTCTTCTTTTTTAAATAGATGTAGGTAAGTTGTATTTTTCAAACATGAAGGCCTACATTTTTGCTTGAAACAGTCTTTTTCAGTAGAATAACATTCAAATCAAATTCATCTTCTATGCCCACAAGCAAAATATTCATCAACCATGCCTTAAACTCCATTTTCAAATACAGTGAATGTATACACACTTTTACAGCACTGTAATGTGCTTCTTAAACACCTTCTTTCTGAAGATCCTGAAGCATTTTAAGATAACTTGGTCCCATAGCACCTCTGTGAGGTAGGTAAAATGCCACTATTCCCATATATATCGATTGGGAAACTCAGCCACACAGAAGGTAAGTCATGCCCAAGGATTCATGCAAAGATGTGGCAGATTGGTGAATAAAAACTCCCCTAGATTCCTCACCTATCTTTAGACACAGGAACACCTCATCTTCCTTAACTTTAAATTACAAATAGATAAAGGATCTTGGAATAATGATTTCCTTGTACTGGGCTCTCAGAAGAGCAAACATACAGGCAAAGATGGATTTTTCATGGTGGTGACTAAGATTTCTCCCATTTTGGTAAGGCTCCTGAGGCAGAAGTACAGTGGTATACAGAAGCGTGGAGCACACCCTTACTATTTTCACACGTCCCCAGGAATGTAAGAAAACTGCTGAATTCTTCTACTTGCTTCACAGTTAATGAAAAATAATTGGCTGCACCCTGCCAGTAAAATGCCTTTGTGCTACTGAGGCAACACCAGCAGATGGTCCAGTCTTTCTGCTTGTGAATTCCTCCCTTGATCTTCCTGATTTTTACAATCTGTGGGTTTTGGTGAAAAACTGACACATTTCTAAATAGCTATTGTTAGAATAATGAACCACGGGAGACTATGCAAACTGGAACAGCAGAAGGCACCCTCGATGCACTGAGTATCTAAAATAAGTGCCCTGATCCACATGATGTGTCATCTTTCTGTGGAGGGGTACAATACGTAGGAAACTAGAAAATGTGTTTTTCTTTCTACAGGTTAAAACTTTAAAAGTAAGAAATCTGTGTTGAGTCACGACTACAGAGAAACTGACTCCCTGTCACCTGATGCAGAGCCTTGGCCACCAGGAAATCTGCCATGGATCATAGAGAGGTCAATGCTTGAGTACTTCACTTCTGCAAATATAGAAAGGCTAAAATGCTCACCTTATACCTATTCCTAGAATAGAGACGGATATTGTAAGTTGTCCCTTCTCTGGATTCATGGATCACATTACCTAGAAAGGGCAACTAGACAGATAGCACAGAAGAACTCATTGTATTTCCCTCACCAAATCCAAGGTGCTAGCAAAAATGTGTCAGGGTGTTGTAACCACGACTAACCCATCTGTTTTGTGCAAACAAACATATTTTAGAGAGAAATTAACAGTGACTGCACAAAGTGTATTTGCTGTAAAAAGGCATTTTTTCCACAACTGGTGTGGCTTAGGCATAATATCACTCTGTGTGTGTAAAACACCCTTCTATGAATTTCTTTTTTTGTAATTTCATCTTACGTATTGAACATCTTTCACAGGTAGTTTGACATTAACTGATTCCTACCCAGCAGTTTGTATTGCAAACATGCTGCTCATTTCTTAAACGAGGGACTGGCACCTCCTTGCAAGGAACACCCTGGAACAATTAATTTGTGTTTGGATGAGCTTTCCTTATTTGCTACCTTGCAGCTCACCAGTGTAACTGCACCTGGTAAATACCTTTCTCTATGGACAATACAGAGATAATGGATATACGAGCTCCACTGTCAATAGGTGATCAACAGCCCTGGGTTTAAGCAACTCTAACGTGAGGCTCCTCTTCTGTCTCCTGCCCCAGGCTGGTGTATGTCACCGAAGGCTCCATCTGGCTGGTGGCTGGCAGGTCTACAACAGGTCCGGAAGGGTTTCGAAACTGCTTGTACACCCGAGGATCCTGGGCTACGTAGGTGGAAGTGGAGGAGTACAGCATCAGCCCAACAAGGATCGTGAAGAATGACAACAAGTAAAGTCCTGAAAACTGAGCAGAAATAACAGTAGAGTCATTAGACACAGCACCAATTACCCTGAGTTCATGTAGACCCAAAGACAGGGTTAGGCACAGATCCTTGTTTTGGCATGCACTGCACAGAACAATCTCCCCATCATTTGGATGTTGAATTTTTATGGGGATGACTCTTTGAAAGTTGATTTGCTCCCACCAATTCCCCCATCCTCCATAACCAAGAGCTAACTAGTGCCTTCCCCTGGGCCAGGCATGTTAAGTATTGACTGGCTGGGACTTGGGAAGGCTGAGTTTTGGTCACAGATCCAAAGCTGATTTTTTCATGCTTTTAGACAAGTCAGCTACTCTTCTGAGTCCAAGTTTCTCCAGCTCCAGTGTGAGGTACCATCATCTATAGTTGTCAGACAGGTCGTGGACAAATCTGGAAGTTAGTTACAGCTAAACCACATCTGTGAAGTTAGCATGCTGTTGGAAATATAAAAATATCATTAAATAATATTTTCAATAAGAATTTAAAAATATATATATACTTAAAAATATATTTTAATAAAGGCACTTAAAAACCACTCTGTATGCAGCTTCTCTTGTTTGTGAACAGAAAGCAGGTGCTAGAACATCTAATGTGAGTTTGGACAGGATGAACTTCAGCTGTGAAACATGCTCTGGGTCAACATCATGAGGTTAGAAAGTACACGTGGAGGGCAGTTAACTGAAAGCCCAAGTACACATATTTTGGCACACAGCTTCACTAGATCAGAGGTCAGCCTGAATTTTTTGACATATACAGACTTGTGTCTGAACTAAAAATACAACACAAAGAATCTTTCTGGCAACTCGTTAGCCCTTGCAGATAAAGCTAAAGGCAAAAACAGGGTTTCAAAAGCACAGACCATTGGTTACTAGCTTTAGATATTGGGTTCTGGCTATGGGGGACACAAAAATGGCTTTAAGCCCATATGACTTGTCTGCTGATCCTGGACTACAACTTATTTCTTCATGCATGCTGTGTGTGAGAAACCATGAAGGACAAACTGCACAGCCACCTTGTTGAGGATATAAATGATTTGTATTCAGTGGAACTTCCAGAAGTGCCTGTCAGGAATCTGCACCTGAACACCATCAACTACCTGCAATCTGCTATTAGCTGTTCCATGAACTACTTGAGGATTTTATGTAAAGGTGTCTGCAAGTCTGTTTGTTAATCCTGACTCTGCTTTGACGGATGCCCCTTTTTTTTCCTCTGGATCATTTTAGCACAGCATAAAATAGACAGAGTGGACCATATTATCTTGGAAGTTTTTGAGCAATTCTGCTTTTTTTTGCTTAAAGAAATGATCACTGTGGAGAAAACAAATTTTATTTAAGCTAAATAAGTGATATTAATTGGTTAATGTTTCATAAACCTACAAAACTTTCATCCAACCTCCTGCCTGAGGAAGCATTTGGCCTTTTTATGGAACCCTCAGTATCTCTGAAAGCTTTGGTCATATAACCCATAGTGATATGTCTGTGTGTGTGCTTCCCACATCCAGTATGCATGTGCAACAGGCAAAATACCATAATGGGGAAAGTTTTAAAGCATGTCAGGAGGATTAGAGGGTGGGAAGAGTTTTGCTTTTCATCGGCTTTTAATTGTTTTTAATGTGTATGTCACCAGGCCCTCATGTGTCATCTGGCAGCACAATTTGATGAAGCCAGCAAGCTCAGTGACTGAGACACTGCTGAGCCTCAGCCAGCGTCTGCTGCAGGATTCCTTCCATGTGACACAGCTCTGATAGGACTGTTTAAGCTTAGATCTCCCCCACGTGGCAATCAAACACGAGCCAATAATTTCAAAGCACTGTCCCTCATTCCCACCTTATGCTTGAATTTCTCACCCCAGTCAGCCAATTGACTTGGCCCACTGCAAAGCCAGAGTGCCAGCCAGATCTGTGACTGCCTTGTGTCCTGCTGGGAGGAATCTGTAGGGCTTCCAGCAGCTAAATATGCTTTTTTTCTTGTTCTAGGAGCTGTCCAGACAAAATCAATTCATTTTTGCTTTGGTTCATTGGCTCCAGCTCTACCATATCCTCCTCTTCCTGGCCATACCTCTCATTCCTCTCTCAGGGGCTTCCTGCCAGTGGGTTCTTTTGGCTGATAATATTCTTTCCATGGTAGTGTCCTCCCTCGTGGCAATTCTCCAGCCTGGGAGAAAGGGTTTGGGCATAGCTTGGGGAAATCTGAACAAAGGTCTGTGAAACATTTGTCTTTGGTATCTGTGCACAGCTAGTTCAAAGAGACCTGGACTCTGACAGTCATATGACAACTTCTTCCTTTTTACCTTCCTTAGAAACAAGGCTCAGGCTGAATTTGTTTGTGCAGCAGCTCTCTCCAACACTGAAGTAGAAGGGTAGTTAGTGAGGTTGATATAGGAATATATACTGAAGTATATGGCAAATCTCTGTTTTTGTCAGTACTCTGTCAGACTGATCCAAACCCTTTTGAAATAAATGGGTATTTTCCTCCTATTAAAACTGTAGTGAATCCATCAGTGCAATGGGAAGATGTACACTTAGTTCCTCAAATACAAAATTTGTTGTTCACTGTACTGTGCTACTCAGACTCTAGCTGAAATCTGCATTTTATGGAATATAAGATTTACAGACATTCCAGTGCTATGTAGGTTTTGGAGGTTTTTTTAATCTTGATCTGCAAACCTCATCTACTGAGATTTGCTATTAATAGACAGGAAAAAGAAACACATTCAAAACCAGCAGAAAGAGCTATTCCTAAGAAATGAAGTGAGGGAAGATCACTTTTCACTGCCACTCTAGGCAACTGCAGTACCAAACTGTAGGTTCTTGGGAAGTGTGTAATTCCACTCCCTGCCTAAAAAGGTACTTGAGAATGATATTGTGCTTCATTTTACTGAATTATCTCTTTTTACAGAAACATATTTCCTCTAAGAAAAGATATTTTTAAATATCCAGATTTGTATGCCTCTCCAAATCCTTCCCTCCATGCTAAGCAGGGTAACTGTAAGTTGTTCAAAGAATAACATGGTCAAGAGAAACTGGTTACCTCAGGTTAGCTAATGAGTGTCACACACCCTAAACAGACTAAAAGTTAACTCATGTTTCTGTATAATTGAACAGTTTAACTAAGGATTTTATATCTACAAGTATAGGTACATATGTATATAAACTTGCTTATCCATGAAGCTTACTGAGAGACCAAGTGACTTTGTGGTGGGGTCAATGATCTAACACTCTTGAGTCCCTGGATTTGATTTTCAACCTGTGAATTTATTTTGTGAATCACAATGATTTTAGTTTCTCACCCATTTAAAAGAGATAATAACACTTGGTTACTGAATAAAGATGAGTTTACAGAATAAAAATGGGGAATACGGATCCTCTGAGGAGAAGGCAGAGATCTCCTTTGCAGAGAAAGTGCCTTATTTACAACATTTCAGATTTCATCACTAACATGAAAAGCATCTGCCAAAGCTTTTTAAGCAGTCAAATCAAACAGTTAAATCAGCTCTACAGATCTGACCATGTCTGCTCTGCTCTGATATCTGTGTGTCTATAAATGCTTCCTCAATCAATAGTATTCAATACGGATCACACAATGATATTCATAAATGTTAAAAAACTATGAAAACACACACAAAAAAATCTTCTCTAGACACCATTTAGTACCCGTGGTGAAAATAGCCTACATTAAACTAACATTACCTTTCAGCATGTAAAAGGCACATCTTTGGTGCCTGCCAATTTGAAGATAAACATACAAAGCAAAACCTAGACAAATAAAAGGTAACATGATTAATAAGACTTGGTCAGCCTATCAATAGAACCACTGATTCTGGTGAGTGGACATTTCTGGTATTTATCTGAGCTGTTCATGAGGAACCCAGTACTTGAATGGATCTGCTCAGTCAGGTTCAGCAGAGGAGCTTCTGGAAGCTGGTGGTTTGGCTGCAGGAATAGGGGCCTCACTCCAGTGTGTGCAACTGCGGAACCCCACCAGGAAAACCACTGCATCAGCAAGGTCCAGCTGATCACAGCAAATGTAAGGTGAAATTACTCTCTCTATTATCTATGCACAAAGTCGTTGACACTAAAAAAGAAAAGAACCCAAACATATTTGCAGTGCTACATACAAAGTGAAGATGAAGCTTACAAAACAAAATTTAGCTTATATATATAGCGTGTTTGTTGCAAGCAAATCAAAATTACAAGTAAATTAAGCATCACAAGGTTCCTAAAATAAAGATGAGTATAAAAGCACCTGAAAAATTAGTATTTTTAAAAATCCAGAATAAAATATTAAACCTTTCAAAATTTACTCCCTACTACTTTTTATCCTCTACTTTTTACTGTCTATCCATTTGAAGCTTGTATTTCATATATCCTTAAATCACTATGGGTAAAACACTTCTACTATTTCCTCTTGAGACTCTTATGCTTTAAAGTAATCCACTTGGAAAGGTGGGAGAAAAAGAAGCTTCTTAATGGGGAAATGAGTGCATCTGATTTCATTGTCTTGAGCAGTGATTAGACAGTAACAGAAGAAGAAGAAGAAAAAAATAGAAAGAAAAGCTCTTTAGAAGGTAATAGATTCATACCTTGGTCTGGAGAGAGCGAGCCATCCTTCAGTACACAGATTATGAATTTAGAAGGGAAAGCCCAAAGAAAAACCATGGAAAAATCACATCTAGGAAAGGCTGTGCTCACTGACCCCTGCCAGGGGAATCAGCAAAGTAGTTCTGGCTGTCACAGATGTCCGTGTCCATGTTACCACTGACACCACAGCAAAACAGTATCCAAAGTGACAAAATGAAACAGATGTGAGTCTGCAGAAAAGCCCACGCTGACAAAGAACAACAATTTGCTAATTTTGGGTTTTTGCTCAGCCATCATGATAATGATCTTGAACATTATTACAACGGTTATGAAAATGCAAATTTTGTTTTACTCAGTCCATTGAACTGGAAATAGTTGCAGGAGCAGACTATTTGAGCTGCAGCA